CACCAACATAAAAAGGCCTGGACGTCCATGGTAGACAACAGTGGTGGATGATTGCAGGATCCTCTCTATGGTAAAAAAAAAAAACATTCACAACATCCAGACAAGTGAAGGACACTCTCCAGGAGGTGGGCGTATCATTGTCAATGTCTACAATGAAGAGTAGACTTCCTGAAGAAAATACAGAAGGTTCACCACAAGGTGCAAACCATTCATAAACCTGAAGAATAGAAAAGCCAGATTAGACTTTGCCAAAAAACATCTTAAAAAGCTGGACCAGTTCTGGAAAAGCATTCTTTGGACGGATGAAACTAAGGTTAATCTGTACCAGAATGACAGGAAGAAAAGAGTTTGGAGAAGGCTTGGAACAGCTCATGATCCAAAGCACACAACTTCATCTGTAAAACACGGTGGAGGCAGTGTGATGGCATGGACATGCATGGCGTCCAGTAGCACTGGGTCATTGGTGTTTAGTGATGATGGGACAGAAGACAGAAGCAGCTGGATGAATTCTGCAGTGTTTAGAGATATACTGTCAGCCCAGATTCAGCCAAATGCATCAAAGCTGATTGGACGGCTCTTCACAGTACAGATGGACAATGATCCAAAACACACTGCAAAAGCAACCCAAGAGCTTTTGAAGGAAAAGAAGTGGAATATTCTTCAATGGCCGAGTCAATCACCTGATCGCAACCCAACTGGGCATGCATTTCATGTGCTGAAGGCAAAACAAAAGGCAGAAAGATCCACAAACAAAGAACAACTGAAGACAGCTGCAGTTAGAGCCTGGCAAAGCATCAGAAAGGAGGAAGCCCAGTCTTTGGTAATGTCCATGGGTTCCAGACTTCAGGCAGTCAATTCCAGTAAAGGATTCTCAACAAAATATTAAAAATGAACATTTTATTTATGATTATATTCAATTATCCAATTACATTTGAGCCCCTGAAAATGGAGGGACAGTGTGTAAAAGAAATATTTGCAGTTCCTACAATTTGTACTTGATATTTATGTTCAACCCCTTGCATTAAAGCTGAAAGTCTGTACTTCAAATTCATTTGGATTGTTTTGTTTTAATTTATTTTGGTGGCACAAAAAGTATGAAAATTGTGTCTGTGTCCTAATATATGGACTTAACTGTATGCTATGTTACTTTTATTTGCTATATTTTTCAATAAATGTGGTATTACCCTTTAAGCTGAGACAGCCAATCACAAGTCAAATAAGTTTTGAAGGTCTTCAAGTTGGATTGTTGGGGAACTGAAACGCAGGGCCATATTTAGTATGCTTAGGTAACAGTTGCTTATGTGTTTCAGCTTAATTGGCCCTAATCATTGAATGTTATTGAAATACCAGAGAATAGTCATGTGCTCCTTCAGGAACTCATCTCTGTGCTCCTTCTGTCCATAGAGCAGAAAAAAAGCTTTTATTTTACTCATTTTGTCGCACATATCATAAGCAACATCCAGGGGTGGACTAACAACTCATGGGCCCCTGGGCAATAGGGGATCATGGGGCCCCTGTGTCCTTGCCCAAACTCAAAAAAGCCTATGAAAAAGGTACCAGGGGCATCTCATGGGGCCCCCTACTGACCCCGGGCCCTCGGGCAGTGCCCGAGTTTCCAAATGGTCAGTTCGCCCCTGGTATTAACCTTATATTAGGTGCATATGAAGGATGTGGCCCTTTCATATAGGTTTTACCAATATGTCACCAAATCTTTAAAATGTAAATTATGATATGCTATTTAATGTAAAATATTGTTTCAGCCATATACAAAATGCATACAGTCTATCATTCTACAACATGTAGAGGGTGAAAAGATGGCTTCATTTTAAACGAGATACAGATTCAGTCTAATGTTTGTGACAGATTTCTGGTAGTAGTTCAGTAAAAGAAAGTCCTGCATCAATTCCAAATAAACCATGCAAGACATTCATTATTATTTTTGACATGCACGACAAATTCACAAATTCGTTATTTGTGACATTTGATTGAAATTTCATTATCAATTTCAGCTAAATTGGTATTATGAAACCTGGAGGAGGTAATTAGGACTAAAGTGATATTGGTCTTATTTACCTCCACAAACAACTGGCAACCAATAACAAGGACTTATTGCTCTGAGCCTCCTCCAAATATCCAAATCCCTTTTTTTTTTTTTTCTATGCTGTGATCTGACTTCCTATTAGAGGGTGGCTTTGTTCTTTCCCTATGGTTACACTGTATGTGGAAGTGTAGCCACCCTATATTGCTCGATCCGAAGATGAACTAGGGGGAAAAGGAAAGTTTTGGGAGTTCACAGAGAATGTCACAAGGAGGGAAAAAAACACAGTATTTTATTATTATACAGGATTTATATAGCGCCAACAGTTTGCGCAGCAATTTACAATGTAAACAGAGACAGTACGATTACAATACATTTCAGTACAGAAGGAATAGGGGGCGCTTACAATCTAAAAAAACATTTTAATAAAAAATAGATTACAGTAGTGGATTACAGTATATGGATTAATTTTGGAGAATAAGAATATTTAGTGTCACTTTAACGATGGAATCATTTCACATTTTAAATAAGCACTGTAAAAAGACAGCAAGCAAGCATACTTCATACATTTTTGCTTTGAAAGCCATGCTCATTTGTTGCTAAGGAAATTGATACGTCTGTGGCAGACTAGTTAATATATGACATACAGTTTACATAAACCCATGGTAACAAACCGTTACAAGTTATACATAATGCACTGTCTGTTTTATTGTTTTTCAGCACTTATAAATCCTGGGAGTTTATATTTTACAGGCTGGATATATTAGTAAAAATGTTTCTCTTCTATAATCTCTTAATTGCCAGTAAACATAAGTAAAACGTTTTTACTATATAAATAAATATTTATTTACATAATGTGGATGATCTTCAGTTTCCTAAATTATTACTTTTTCATGCCCATTACAGCAATTTATGGCTGTTTAGGTAAGGTTGAAATACAACTTGATACTTTATTAAATGAATTTAAAAATATTATTAATTAATTTCTATTTAAATATCTAATAAAACATTATTCTTTATGGGATATATTTGACATATTTTTTCATCAATATCGTATATTAAATCTATCACATACACATATATAACACATAAAGTATACTGGGTGTGGTTTTTTTTTTGCTATTTGGTTTTAGGAATGTTTAATACACACATGGTGGTATAACGGTAATAGTTGTTATAGTGATGAAAGCATTATGAAGATTGAAATTATTATTATTTAATTGTTATTATTATTATACAGGATTTATATAGCGCCAACAGTTTGCTCAGCACTTTACAAAATAACGGGAGACAATACAGCAACAATACAGTTCAATACAAAAGGGTTTAAATTAAAGGATAAAGTCCCAAAGATTAAACTTTGTTTTCTTATATACAAGTGATCCTAGGCTGGCTCTATAACTGCTGTGCACCTACATACATTTTATATATATATATATATATATATATATATATATATATATATATATATATGTGTGTGTGTGTGTGTGTGGAACACTCCTAGTTTAGCTAGGGGGAGCTAGATCCTAATGGTTAGACAGGAGCTGTTAGCAGCTCAGGTGTAATAGCCAGTAGGGTCAAATTGTGGTCAGGACTGAGAGGCTCTGCAGGTCAGCCCCTCTGGAATTTTCCCCTGCTCTGAGACTTTCAGAGGAGGGCCTTGGAGGCAGTGGGTGGATCTGAGGAGTGGCTGGCTGCACTCTTGTGGGACCTCAGCCATTCCCCAACAGAAGGCTTGGCAAGAGGCTGGGATTCCCTTAAAAGTGTAGGCACCTGTTCAGTAGGGAGAGTCAGGTGGAAGAAGGAGATAAGTATGGAGAGGAAGATGTGAGGTAGAGGAAGGAGGCTGCCAGGAGACCTAATAAGATGGGGCCTGCCTGCGAGCCTAGAGCTGGAAAGGTGGAAAACTTGGAACTCACAGGCCCCCTGAGTGAGAACCACGTGTATGGCAGAGAAGGAGGATCTGAACGAGTACACCTGCACCCCCTGGGCAGATAGGGGAAGGAGCACTCTGGTGGGAAACCAGATTAGCCCCCTACTAGTGACTGTTCACCTATATAAAGGGACAGGAGCCAGATCCCCTGCTCAGGAATACCTCCATATTGCTGTGTGAAGAGGAGCATTTCATCTAGGGTCTGGGGTCTACATCAAGGAGATGCTGGCTAGCTCTCCAACAGAGACTGTGTTGTAGAAGAGAAGCTTGAGAATAGCTCCAAGACGTTTGTCCTCCATTGTCAGATCCCTTGGGCATCCTATTCACCCCTTATCCTATCCCAGTTCTAAATCCTCTCAATAAACAACAAAACGAAAGCTCAAGGATTGATTTCCAACTTGGAATGCAAGCTTGTGTGCAGAATGCAGATTGCCTGGCTGTGCAGGACTATAGGAGGACCCAAATCTCTTAGCAACCCCCAAGGAGGTAGTGCTACACACACTGCACACAAATACTGTAGCTGCTCACTTTTAATATTAGGGCACTTACCTGTCCAGGGATCCAGCGGTCACCACCATCATGACTAAGGGAAACCGGCAGTGAAGCCTTGCGGCTTCATCGGCGGTATCCTGCTGCACACATTCAAAGCACGCTGCACTTTGTGAATGGGATGCAGTCCTCTGGAAGTGTCCCAGAGGGCTGGGGGGGGGGGGACTTCCAACTTACTTCGCTGCGGAAATCTGAGCCAGAAGTGGGAGTGAGTACCTGTCAAAACCAGGTACCCACTACCCCCTCTCCCCCAAAAGGTGCCAAATGTGGCAGTGGAGGGAGGGAGAAGGCAGAAAAGTAGAGTTTCCACTTTTGAGTGGAACTCCGCTTTAATAATACAAATAGTTAGATATTTGCAACACTGCAAACATCTTTTTCCAGCAGAGCCTGTACCCAACAATACCATAGCGGAAAACTGCCAAGCACCTGTAAGAATATGGACCTGTCTGGTGCTGTTGCTACAGAATACAGCGCAATAAGAACATGCTGTGCTGTGGGTGCAATATTTGGCCATTGACAATATTGTGTAACAGAACAGGATATTAAGAGTCCACTGTTACTCTCGAATTTACTAGCAGGAAAATGTCAGAAATGCAAGTCTGCAAGGCCAAACCTTAGCGCCCAATGATATTCCAAAAAACCACCCTTGCAGTGGGTACCTGCCCCCCAATGCAAGGGTTAATTGTTCTTTTTGTCTAGGAGCAGAGAACTAAGGTGTAAATGCATACCTTACTCCAAGCAGGGGTCCTCCAGAGCTGCAACCAGTCCCCTGCAGCTGCTCAGTAAGCTTCGTCCATCTCCGGTCATACTTCAGTTTCCTAAATGTACAATATGTTTAGGAAGCTGAAGTTCATTTTCCTGTATAGTTAGTGAAGATGCCAAGGCTCCACCCACCGACTGGAGATTTAGGCAGAGGAGGAGAGTGCTGGAGCTGGCTGGAGCGAGGAATCAGGTAAATGAAATAGTCCCTTCCGTAATCCCCAAGACAAAATGAGCAATTAGCCCTTTGCAGTGTGGTGAGCCCTCTGCAAGGGTGGATTTTTTAAATTTCTTGAGTTAATTTTTAAAGGAAAAATATGCTTTTGGGCTGATTTTATTGCACCTTTTCAAAAGTTTTTAAGTTAAAAACTTAAAGCGGTAGTAAACCACAAAAAACAAAATCCAGAAAAATGGTCCCCTGCAGGATAATCGCATAATGTGCTAGTATGCATCACATACTGGCACATTATGAAAGACTTATCTTAGAATGAAGCCCTCCAGTGGTACACTGTCACCACTGACAGGGCTTCCATCTTCACCTAGTCTTCCTTCCAGGTTCGCAGGCTTCAGCTGTTTGACTGGCTAAGCCATGATGACATCACTCCCACGCATGTGCGCGGGAGTCACAGCTGCTGCATGGCTCTCTCAATGAATGGTGCATGAATGTGACATCACCGGTTGCTACTTTAGTAAATATCTCCTAAACGGTGCACATATTTACTGTACCTACAGGTAAGCCTTATTTTAGGTATAGTAAGTAAACAGTGGGGACTTTCCTTTCATTCACTACCTATATATAGCCTTTTGTTTTAAAACAAACATCAGTACAGGGAATATCTATCATATTGTTTCAAAGTAGTGTGGATTTTACAAAGGAAGGATACAGCAGTGGATCTTTCCTTTCAGTCTGTCTCTTAGAGAAACTCCATAGAACCTGAGCATGGCAGACAGAAAGGTGGAGTTGAGACACTCCTCTGAGTCATTTATTTGCGTGTTTACAATACAGCCTAAGCTATTGAGCTCTGTAAACAACAGTTTATTTTACTGGTGCTGATAAGGCTAGCATGGTTGGGAATGTAATGTTTCCCATAACACTTCCATTCAAGGCATGCCATGTGTGACAACTGGCACATTTACTTGTGCTCTCATCTATACTGTCAAGTCATCAAATGGCTGGTGTGAAAACTGATGATATTTCAGCAGCTGCAGAGCAAACAGTAGCTAAGATGGCAACTGCAAAAGATTAGAGGGTTTAGTTCTGCTTTAAACATACAGTATATTATTACAAAAATTATTTAATTATGCATTTGCATTCAAATTTATTTAAAATTCCAATGACCACAAAAATTGTGGGATTTTTTAGGAAGGGTAGGGGGGAGATAAAATGTTTTGGGTTTATCCCTGCCATCTAGCCATTGCAAATACAATTTCAGTACAATAAAATTTCATCCTCCATGTAATTTTTTCCACTAAAAAACGAAGACTTGCACTTGCTTCGGTGGGTAACTTTTAAAAGCTGAACGTACTTTGACTACTTCAATACCATCATATTTCTTCATTTCTATAAACTGTGGCAAAAAAATGAGATCATTTTGCTATCCTGGTATTTTTATTTGATGTGTTTTATAATATAAAGCAAAGGAAACAATTGCTTCAAAATGTGTGCTCTTTTGGTCCAAATGCTTAGGCTTGCATGATGGAGTCATTGTCAGTCAAACTACTATCACAACTCTGAAAAATGACCTGGAAAAGATGCTTGTATAAAGATGGTTAGGAGAGAAATTCATAAACGTTTGCCAAACAGCTTAATCACATTCCTGTACTAGGAAAATGAGTGACTTTCCACATTTCCCTACATTTGATCATCAAAAGTAAATATATGTACAGCTCCTTTAAGAGTGACTGTTCGATAAATTAATACGTTAATATTTATCTCTCTCCTACTAAGGAGGAAAAATCATGTACAAACTTGAAAATACACAACCAGCATGCAACATGAACAGAATAATCACATGTTGTATAGAAAAATTCCCGTATCTAAAGTTATATCATTTTTTGTATATCTTTAAAAACAAACATAGAAATGTTATTTTGGCTTTGTAAAGTGTACACAGCAGTGATATTTTAATTGCACCAGGTAAAATCTGTACTACAGACTGAAAGGACTGAGGATAGCTGCACTGGCAGGCTGTGATCAGAATTAACATTAGCTTCTTTAATAATTAACATAAAGAAATGAGGAAGTTTGAGCCAAGCCTAGTCACAGATCAGAGAAGTTTATCAGTAGCATTACCTGCGTTGTTACTTGTTTATGAACAAACTAGGTACATAGTGCAACTGGAGAACAGGGGGATAACAGAAAGCTTTTCCTTGCTGGGCCAGGACTCGGTGAAGAGAAAATGTATACAGGGCAAAGTAAAAATCCGATTAAAGTGAAACCTCCATGGTATGTCAATATTTTTACTCTATATTTCATATGAAATTGTACAATGTGTTTATTTAATATCTCTAAAGGGTGCATAAATGGATTACGGAACAGCTAGTATGTCCTGCTAGCAGATGGGCATGTATTCATGTGGACAAACGGAAAAATGTTTCAATTTGAAGCCCAACTTTTTACGTGAATAGCATGGAGAAGGGTTAGGATCTCTCTAAAGTTTGGTCAGGGGCAGCGCTGGATCAGAGGACCTTTTAGGTCCCATAAATGTGGAGAACTCTGTTTAGTATTGTTAGTATAATGGTCATTGAGGCAATGTCCACTGACCTCCCAAGAGCTGACAGATTCCAGCACTTATGTCGCAGAGAAACATATTGGATTTATACCCTGGACGTATTATCACCTGGAGGTCTGAATGAGGACGTTGAGATTCACACTATTCTACAGAATTATACCCCCTCCCTTTTTTCCTGGTTCTAGCCCCTTCCCAATTGCTACTTGTATCTGTTAGTCTCATTTTTCTCCAGATACAACCCCCATTTTTTTTTTTGAAGACTATAATTTATTGTTGTACACAGGGGCGGACTGACAACTCATGGAGCCCCCAGGCAATAGGGGATCATGGGGCCCCTGTGTCCTTGCCCAAACTCAAAAAACCTATTACAAAGGTACCAGGGGCATCTCATGGGGCCCCCTACTGACCTTAGGCCCTCGGGCGGTGCCCAAGTTTTCAAATGGTCAGTCCACCCCTGGTTGTACACCATGACTTTTATAATGGTGCAAATAAACAGTGAGTTATTCTCCAGTTCATTCATTTGTCTAGTCCTCTATTTGTTATGGATATATTTATTCATTTTGCCAGTATAGTCTGTATATTGAATACCATGTAATCTCATGTATTGTATTCCATACTTGTATTCTTTTTACTTATTGTTATTTAGCCTACTGGGATACCCTCAATGCTGCCCTACAACATCCTGCTTACAGACTTTCCTCCCCCCCCCCCCCCCCCTTTCCCTCTCCCTCCCCTCCCCCCTCTTTTTTTTTTTTCCCTCCACTCCCCACACACTTTGCACCTTTTTTACATTCTTTTCTCCCTAGCACAGTTCCATGCCACCCCCCCCCCATTTTTTTCTTTAATCATTTTTATTTTCCATCTTTTATAATTATTATCTCTTATACATTTGTTATTTTTTTGTCCTCCTCTCCATCTTTTAATAGTTCGTTTCTCCCTTGACCTCCATTGTTTGGTCTTCAGGAGGTGTTCACTTCCATCTCTTCAGGCCGCCCCCTCCCCGCCCCTTCTTCCTATATATTTGGCTCCTATCACTCGTTGGCATCGGTCTTGAAGAAGGAGCTCTGTGCATGCTCCGAAACCATCACCGTTCCACGCCCGTTCCTAACCCACGTCACTTCCGGTTGCGGTCTCCTGGACAGCGTGCGCTCCAGCGAGCGTGCCAGCGATCACGGAACTTGTGGTGGCCATCTTGGACACCTGATGCTCAGCTCCCCCTGCAGCTGCTGGCCAGAACAATGGATTCTTGCATGGTGGATTGAGCCTCTGCACTCTGATAATTTTATTGAGTGCCAGAGTGCCAAATAGCATAAAATGTGCCCATCAGAATGCTGCATATTTTATGTTAAGGAGCACTCTGATTAGCACATTTTATGTTAAGAGGCACTCTGATGGGCCTATGAAAAAGGTACCAAGGGCATCTCATGGGGGCCCTCTACTGACCCAGGCCCTCGGGCAGTGCCAGAGTTTCCAAATGGTCAGTCCGCCCCTGGTTATGGGGCACTCTGATGGGAATGTCTGATGTAAGGGGGCACTTTTAATGGGAATGCCTGATGTAAGAGGGCACTCTGATGGAAATGCCTGATGTATGGGGGCACTCTGATGGGAACACATTACTTAACGGGGCACTCTGATGGGAATGCCTGATATAGGGGGGTACTCTGACGGTAGCAACTGATTTATGGGGGAAGTCTGATGGTGGCCCCCAATGTAATAAATTACTCTGGAGGGGGAACCTGATGTAAGGGGGAACACTAATGGGGACATTTATTTTCAGACCTCGGCCAGATAATTTTAGTTACTGGACCTCCTTGAATTTTGATTCAATACCCCATGCTGTATGGTATGCAAGAAAGGTAGGAGGAGGGTAGAGACGTTTTTAAGAATAGTTTGCTTTATCTTCCACTTTTAAAAAAAAAATCCCCTGAATGAGGAAAATTCCCCTTAGACTTCTTGTCTCTATACCAGGTGTCCTTATTGGAAGATTTCCCCTTACCTTTTGCTCTGGGGAAATCTCTAAAATATTGGATTTTCCATCACTTTTTTTCTCAGTGACAATGGTCAGCAGTGCAGAGGGGTGAATCTCTCCAGTGGGACAGGGACGGCTTTAAAACTTGATAGAGGTTCCAGACCTTCTTCAC